AGCCGGTGTAGCACATATGAGGGGATAATGACAGAAGTTTTCTTGTTGCGTGAAACTAACACCGAGCTACTGGTTTAAAAGTTTTGTAGCTCAAAGTAAAAAAAACAACAAAAAAAAACAATTATAATAAATTATTAAAAACTAAAACATGGGCGAAAAATGTTTGTTGGCTTTACGAAGCAGAAATTCGACAGATCTTCTGTGTTTGTAACGTGACTAAAGTTTTATTTTCATTTAATAAATGAAATAAATGACTCATTTTTGATGAAAAAAGACAACTACTGTTCAGTAAAAAAAGTTAACAGCCAAAGCTTTCCTTATAATCCGTTGCATTTTGTGGTTTATTCATTAAATGAATGAACGATACTCATCACGATACTGGTCACGCAGCAGACTCGTCAAGTTTGTTTGCATTAAGCCATTTTGCCAGTGAAATCAACACCGTTGTGCTTAGACAAGCATATAGCTGGTCTTTCTATCAGGGATTTGACAACAGAAGTGGCTTTCCATTTTTAAAGTCAAGACAAAATGAACGAGATCTGAGAAACTTGGCTCTTAGCCAGTTACCGGTCAAATTAAAATGCTATTTTATCACACACTTCAAAGTCTGAATGAACAACCCCCTGACTGTAGTGTTGAGCAGCTCTGTAGACATTCACATCGTGAGAGATGATGGAGTCGTGAGCTCGAGTGGACCTGTGAAGGACGACATGATTCAGAGCAAACACAATCAGCCGCACGTAGCAGCCATGCACCAGCTCTGACACACAAATGCAAAATGCCCCTGTGACTGGCAAACACACACTTCGAAAAGGATAGAGGCGGGTGGAGGAGTGTTTGTCTGGCACAATCTCCCTCATGGGAAGAGAATTTAAATTCACACACACGTCTGAGATTGAGCACTCGGTGAGATGTGTTAATAGCTGTACCAGTTATTTTACATTGCTTAGGAACAGTCACAAGGTGATTTTTCAACTAAATTAATCGTAACACTTGCCTAATGATGCATGAGAAATCATGACTGCTTGTAGTTAGTCTTGATGTATATAGCCCACCTCAGGAGACAGACCAAACTGCACTGTATGACTTTGCTATGATTATGCAATATCTTGATGACTATTGAATTTAGGTCAGGTAAATAGGAGAGCCATTCTAGCAGCTTTTTTTATTTTTTATTTATTTTTTGTGCAGTGTTAATTTTGACAGCCAATTTTGATTTAGTTTTTGTCTTTTGAATAAACTTCCATTTTAGTTTTTGATATCTAGTTTTAGTCAACTACATTTCATAAGATCTTAGTCGACTAAAGGCCGGCTCACACGGTGCGATTTTTTTTTAAGAATGTATGTAATTAAATTTAAAGTTATTAAATTTTTATAATCCTCAACGATTGTAGCATGTCAGACTGCACGAATATGGCTCCCATGTCACATTGTAAGATCACAGCTGTCATGAAGTCAGACTGAACGAAACACGAAAGGAGTTTGACAACATCCACCCATGACACTTTCACAATCTAATGTTCTGAAATGATTCCTCACAGCAAACGTAAACAATCTGTTGTGGCAATTTTGCAACACAGCGAGTCTCAATAATAAAACTAGATAGAAAAAAACAGTTTAGACATTTCCTCGCAGTCATTTGAATTGTCGCATGAATTGAGTCATCAAATTCGGAGCTCCTATTGGATCGACGCTCATCGCAGCTGCTGTCACACTGCAGGAAAGTGTCTAAAATCTTCTGACACTGCCAGAACTTTATTGGAAGAAAAATCTGATCACAACGGGGACTAAGTGGCTGAACATGTCAAACCAACGATGAAAGACCACAGATTTTTGCCAGGGATTTCAGCAATCTTTTAGGATTTCCCAAATTTGTCTTAGATGTCAAAATCATGGCTGAAATCTCACAGTGTGAGCAGGGCTTTAATCTACTTGAGGTTAAGTAAAATATATTTGGTTTAATTTAAGTGGAATTTTATTAAAATATTGTTTATATTTATTTATACAAAATATTTACAATTAAAAACTTAAATAAATGATCTAATTAATTAAAATATGGAATATAGCCTTTCCATTGAAGACCAAAAAATGAGATATGCATTGTTTATTTAGATCATAAGTAGTTATGTTGGTGTTCCTGTACTGTACATGGTGCTCAGCTATAGTACTGATTAAATAAGTAATGACATATGACTGGCAAATGATAATGTTATCTTGTAAAATGTGCACTCAGTCCCATGGCTGAGTTAACTCGCATAGAGGAATTCTAAAAAGAAGATGTACTCATGTTTTCAAAATAAAAGCACGCTTCACTTCAAGGCAGTTTCGTTATCTTGTATGCGACTGCCTGATAAGCGGAGATTATTGCTCTACAGTATCATTACATCCTTACAGACGTAAGATCTAAAAATCACACCACTGAATGACGTCCTGAATAAATTGTTTTGTGGTACAGGTACAACGTAAATAACTATTGTCATGACGATCAAGGCAGACGCAGACAGCGCGTGAACCTAGCACAAGTTAGCTAAACTGTAACCGCAGCTACTTGTAAAATAAACAACTTCACAGGAAAATAAATGCTATGGTCATATAAATTTAAGACTTGTAGATTTAACGTCTTCTTCAGACTAGATGGGACTAAAAGCAGCTAATATGCATTTACACTGACAAGGTCTAGAGTTGATTTCTATGTACTGAAACATTTTAGCTGCTTTCTGGGCTTTCCATTCCTTTTTTTACCTTCCTTTCTTAATGTGTTCAACACTTTTTCCCGGTGTCATTGAATTTTATTGCATAAACAAATTTCTAAACTAATTAGTCTTTATTGCATGTATGGATTACTTTGATTGTTATTTGGTCTTATTTTGTGATCCCATTCATATTTAATTTTGAAGAATGACAGTCTATAGTCACATTTACTGTTGCTTTGTAGCTGTAATGTTTTAACTCAATACAAGTTTCCCACATAATAGACATTTTGCTCATTTTCAGTCGATTAAGTAAATTCACGGTTTGGTTTTAGAAGTAATTTCTCTGTGAGTAGTGCATGAATTTCTACACTACACTTCTTTTTGTCAACCAAAACTTTGCTACAGTTAATGAAACTAATGTGACTATACTTTTACAATCTTTTCGTTGCATATTATGGTGCTTATAATATAAGCAAATCTTACATGTTTTGGGGTTTGTATGCATTTGCATTAAAGCACAAGTCAACCAATGTCCTATAAAGACCCATAAACACTCCATAAGGTCCCCCAAAAGGACTACCTGCACCATAGTCTCTTTCAGTTTCTCTTCTTGACTGTGCTGCCTGTTTTACAGGTCTCTCTCTCCATGCTGAGAGGTTAAGCTTACTTAAAATAGAGGTTAATCTTATATCTTATATGTTAATCTCCAATTTCTTATATTTGTCCTACTCCTTCCCCTTGATAATTAATCTCTGATACATGGCTTTCACTTATAACTTTTCTTTGTACAGAGAGTCATAATGGTCTAGTCAGTATTATTTTTCATTAGTGAATGTGCTGTCATATGTTTCAGAAAATCTAATGGATTCGGCTAAACAGACGATAAAAAAAGCCAGGATGAATGTATTTTAAAGTTAACTGGACTTCTAAAACTGGAAAGTTCAAACAAATCTTAAAAGTAAAACCGCAAATCAAAAGCTAAACATAGAGTGACATTTACTGGTTTCTTTAAATAGATTCTTTCTTACACTAGAGACCCTTCAATCATGCCTGACGCATTCCAGTTATTTTCCATCAGTGTTTCTCTCTCACTTTCTCTGTGACACACGCGCTTGCTCAAGATCAAAATAGTGTTAAATGTAGACTGTCCATTGCTTGGCTGCCCTCATTCCTTGAGTTCAAGCCAAGAGTATCTGTATATAGTTTTATTTAAAGGGTCTGGCACTGGACTGACAGTCACACTCTGCAAAGCTGCGGTGTTGAGTGGGCAGGCTGGTTCAGACAGGCTCTTAAAGTCTAGTCAAGCTCGACGAGACAATACAAAACCCAAACTACAATAGGAAGACTCGAACAATTCCTATTTCTTCAAGAAAAATATATAAACATACTTTAATCATACCAAGGAAGCTCACAGCACTGCTAGAACTTGATGCAGCCAAGGGTAAATGAGGTCTAGAGTTGTGTAATAATGGAATGACACTGAATACTGAACTGCTGAAATGTATTTAATACATGGAGATACATTCTTTTCTGAAAACAACTTTACTGAGTTCCCTTTGTTTAGGTAGTTTCAGCTGGTAATTTAGGTGTTGGGCTGCTATTTATTTACACTTACAAGGACAAGGGTTACTTTATAAATGCACAGAAAGATTTTAGCTGCTGTCTGGGCTTTCCATGCCTTTACACCCCTCTTTCTTCATGGGTTCAATACTTTTTTGGTCTGTCTTTTAATTTTATTGCACATATATTAATTTTCGAAACTAATTAGATTTGTTTTGTTGTATGTATGGATTACTTTGGTTGTTACTGGCATCTGAGGAAAAATGTGAGTCAAAAGCACTTTTAGAAATATATTTTTTTTAAATGGTAACATTTTTGCTTTTGTGGCATCCAGTGAAGTGTAGGAGAAACATATCAAAATGCATTTTAAAGGAAATGTACAGTTAATTACATTTTAATTCAATGTTGGTTTTGACTATAAATGATCAGCATGACGATGTATGGGAACTGAAGGCTACAATTTGTCAAATTAAGACTTAAAAATAAGATTAAAGCATGTGTTGACCACATACAGCTGGAATATGTAAACAAAGGCCATGGAGCACACGGCCACATTTTGCTCTGCCAAAACCTATAGAAAGCAAGTGGCGTTTAAGATGAACTGTATTTCATTATCAGTATTTAATTAGATGTCTTTGGCTTTTGTATATATATATGGTTATGTACAAATCAATATCATAATAATAACAAAGACAATTTTTTGAAAAAGTTCTCAAAAAACTGAAACAAAGGATTTCTTTTGTCTAGGTTACGGCACCAGGCACACAAAGAGCTCTATGCATACAAGCAGGTAAGCTGATGACTTGCCTATTCAAACATTTACTGTATTGTATAAATGTACAATATTCATTATAAATTATGCAATAGTGTTATTCTTTGTCATAGGGTTTAACTCAACCTATATTACTGTAAATAATACAATATCTGGTTATTGATTATCTTTTCATTCACAGGTTATTCAAAAGGAAAAGGTGAAAGAACTAAACTTGCATGAGGTGAGTTCCACTTTTAGTTTTCTAGTTGTGCAGAAATCCTTTTTTTAATGGCAAGTATGTTAATCAGACAGAGGTGTGTTATATTTATTGTTTAAAATAATAAAAAAAAATTGTTTATATAATGTGCACGCTAACTTGAAGTATGGCAATGAATGTAGAACAGTAGAATCTGTTAGAACACAAATAGAATCTCGTTTTTCAAGTGATGAAAGCAAAATATACCCTTGTATTTTTGTTTTTTTATAAAACGAGATTAATCATTTAAATAAAAAGTTAAAATAGACAGACAAATACATTAATCAAGTAATATCATAAGCAAGTGTGCTGAACGATAGTGTGCGAGCAACACTCATGGTGACTGTATATTGGTTTTATATTAATTAACATTTGAACAACAATCAAGATAGTAATACACAATGTGAATTAAGATATATGTTTTTGTCAGCATTGCAAAGCAGAAAATTTCAGGAATGCCAAGTACTATTTTCTAAAAAGTGTGACCTAAAATTATGATTGTCTTTTGCAGTTTTGCAGTGCTAGTTTTGCCACAAAAATGTATTTTTCTAGAAAAATAAGATCACAAGCAATTGTAAGAGTCACTAAATGAAGATTATTTATAAACTAATTTCGAGAGGATTATATGCTTATGATTGCTTGCGGCTGGACCCACATTATTCAATTCATAATGCACCAATCAGACAATTCCTAAGCTACTATAAATACCCAGGTTACGCATCACAGCCATCTTCTTTTTGAAGAATCCCTCTTCCACCTCTTCCTCCTCCTATATGGGTGGCAGGGTGGCCCAGTGCTTAGCACTGTTGCCTCACAGCAAGAACGTCACTGGTCCTAGTCTTTACAAAGCCAGCTGACGCTTCTATGCAGAGTTTACACATTCTCCCTGTGCTCACATGGGTTTCCCCCGGGTCCCCCAGTTTCCTCCCACAGTCCAAAAACATGCAACTTAAGTTTATTGACTAATCCAAATCAGCACAATGGACATGCTCCTACCAAGTACTTCTCTTTAAAGAGCAACTACTTTCCGCTCTTCAGCCACTATGAAAGGGGAGCTCTCAAGATCTACCTGAGCTTAAACTCCCCTCTTGATGAAAAACTGAAGAATAAGGTGATGTGAAAAAAAACAGTGACAAACGACATGTTTTGGGTGTTTATGTTGGTTTTATATCTCAAATTGTCTCAAAATGAAAACGCAAATTGTCCCGGTTTTGGAGCACATCAACATATCAATGTCCTTTAAATTAACAGTCTAACATCTAACTGGATTTTCCTGCGTTTTTAAATGGCAGAAATTTTTGCCTAGGGTCTTAGTGTTCAATTCATCTTGTGTGATTTAAGTCTTGATGTCACCAAGTGTGATTACATACAGTAGTAACTGCTGGTCGAGATATTAAGAAATATCAGTGACATTGTATCTATTCATGGTTATAGAACAAACTACCCTGAATCTCAAGACCTTTACACGACCTGTACACTTCACACGTTTATTATTAGCAAGAGCCTATGTAGTTTAACCTTCACTGAGTGTTTGTGGCTGTGTTCATAAGCTAGTGTCCTGACTTCATATGTAGGTGCTAATGAAAAAATTGAGGTGTGAGGACACCAGGGTTCTTGCTGATTGCTCAAACTCTCCTGGAATTTCTCATAATCTTTTGCTACCGCTCGGTTTCTCATATGAGCTCACTGTCAAGGAATAGTGTCCACTCAAAGCTTCTTGCGTTTTCAATATTCTGGCTGTATTAATCATTATTAAGTGACTTGTCTTCTCAGTGGAATTGTATGAAACTCATTTAAGCAAAACAACATTGGTTTTGTTGGTTTGGTTTGTTTTACTGGAAAGATCTGCCTCTTGTCTTACGTCTGCCTTTTCCCCATTTGAACTTGATACAATAGCACTGATATTGCAAGCTGTACTGTATACACTGTGAAAGTTTGTTCAAAAACAACCCAACCAGAAAAAAAATAACATTTTAATCTTAGGAAGGAACACAAGGTTCTTTTAGGTACTAGAAGTGCCAATGATATTAGCATCAAGGTCAGTGATTTTACATTAGTCATATCTTTTGAAGCAGTGCCGAAAAACTATCAGCACTGCCCAAAAGTGCCAAGCAAATGTCAGTCACACTTGTAGAACACGAGGGGGGATTGGGGGAGCAGCGCACCCACACAAGGAGTCATGGTGTTCATTTGTTTCTTTTAAATGACAGCAGTAAAAAACTGAACAATTATTTGAACTGTACAAAAGTATAAGCTAAACATTAACATTTATTTTTATATCTTTATCTACAAAGCGTGCAGCTTTTGTCTCTGCAGTGTATCTTAATGGGCTCCTGGAAGAACATTTCAAGTAAACTACTAGTACATTGATGTTAGTACTTACTTAATAAAGAATACTTTTATAGTTGATCTTTATTTAAGTATACTTCTTTTTCCTAAGGGTGTATTTACTGACTTTCCCAGATCAGTCTTGTACAGCCAGGGGGAGTATTGCTGCTCTGACAGCCAAGTTAGATCAAAGCTAGGGATGCTCCAATCAGGATTATTACAGTTGATACGGAGTACAGATTCCTTGTCAGAGTAATAGGCTGATACTGAGCACCGATTCTAATGCTTCAAAGCTTTATATTGCATTGAGCACATTTTCCCTCCAAGTATGAACTTAATAGAAGATCTTACCTTAACTAAGAAAATAAATTAAGGATGCTGCATATAATACCTTAAAAACATCTCTAATAACCATTTACAGTAGGTGTGAACGTGTCATGGCCAGAAGCAGCTTTATGGAAAATAATCCATCCATTCACTTTACTCTGGCTTAGTCCCTTATTTATCAGGAGTTGCCACAGCGGAATGAACCACCACAGAATATAAATCGCACACATATAAAAATTATGAAAAATTACAAAGCAATTTGGAAACATTGCAAATGATGAAAGAACAGTTCAACATGACTCAATCAAGAACAAGTTTGAAGAGCACATTTGATGCACAAGTTAAAATGAACAGCTATAAATCGAAAACTTCTTTACTAAAAAGGAAATAGGCCTTTAAACTACTGTTTATAGCAATGAGTGTATTACAAGTTATATTAGTAAATATTCATGTTAAAAAATAAATGATGATTTATGAAATGATTGATTAACAATTCCAGCCAGCTTTTATTGAACTTGTAATAGTCAACACAGAACCTTCAGGTGATTTACGTAAAAAGACCTAAAAACATGCCATGACCATTCAAATATTTTGCTTGTCTCCAACTTTTGACAGCAGATATCTCAATGAAAGTGACAGAGCGAGAGAGGGGGGAGGGTAATATCTTTACTGCTCCATTCATTTAACCTAATAAATATAATGCTTAGACCATCACTGTGCCTCTTGCGATCCGTTATGGTTATTGGTTATTATATTAGGTTATCTGTCTGGTGTTTTAACTCCTTTTTGTGATCGCGGAGCTTCCGAAAGAGGTCAATTCGCATTGGATGAGACGCTAGATAGGGGGGAACCCTCCACTTGTGTTACAGCAGCGCAAAACACTGGAAATACAATGGCTGCTCTAGCAACAAAGAGAACATTGCACCAGTCGTGCCAATTGTTCACCGTTTGTGTGAATAAGATATTACATACGACTATTTAGCTTATTTATTAAAAGGAGTTGTGATCTGGCGCTTTATATAAAATACAATTAACTTGACTTCAAGGGGGGCGGGGAAAGCCATTGGGAGGCCGGGACGCCCCCCTATGATAATGGTAGGGGTAAAACTGCTATAGAAGTTAATGCTTACCAGTTTCCATCACAGTTCAAAAGAACTTCAACAGAAGACAAACAGGTTTGTGACAAGTAAAGAGAAAATAACAGAATCATAATTTTATATATTTATATAGAAGTTTTATATTTGACATTGATCTTTGGTTTTCACAAATATACAACCCTTTCTCCCCAGAGACATTCCCCAGTTCAGAATTGCAGCTGTTCTCGTTTTAAGTAGCTGTATTTGGCTAATTTCAGACTGTTTTAAGAGACCATATATATATATATATATATATATTTATATATATATATATTTATATATATATATATATATATATATATTTTTTTTTTATTTTTAATTTTATATTAATTATAGAGGAATTTTCCTTGTTTCATTTTAGTCCCCCCCCCCAAAAAAACAATTTTTGATTTTAGTCATTACTGCAAATTCTTCCCCATACAAAATTGTGGTTTGCTGTATTTATCATATAGCAAACACTTAGCACATTCCCTCAAACAGGTTTTTAGAGGGGATTCGTGAAACTAAATAAATAGGTCAGTAGTCCCCTCGCCTGTACTGGCAAGTCTGGTTTGCGCTTGTATGTGTGCTCAAACAAGAAAGAGTGTCTTACATAAAGGGGTGGGGGCCAAACTGCAAGCTGATTGGTCTCTGCATCCCCTGCACATAAGCCAAAGGGGAAAAACACTGTCATGATTGTGCACCACAGGCATGAGAGTTTCACACTTGCATAGTTAAGAGATTTTACAGACACGTACAGCTACTGTTTAGCCTAAGGATTGTGGGCTTTATCAAAATGGTTTACTCATTTTGGTTTGTTCATGTAAATGAAAACAACCATTGTAATTTCTCAGTAATTTTCTGAAGGCCCAGAGTTGTTTGGACCTCATATAAACATGACAAAATATCATTTTAAGAGGGAGTGAACCACTAGAAGCATGAAATAAGGAATGTAGCCTTTGTTTTTTCATTCAAGGCCACATTAGAAAGGTAATCTGTGTGTAGTTGACCTGATGAACAGAGTTATACAGCTTCATGCTGCTCTATCAACTCTGTCCTTGATCTTACATAAGATACAGAGGCCCCGAGCATGAGAGGAGTGAATATAATCTTAGTTCTCGAAAACATCAAGTCCCCTTCTTATAACGTGATTATATACAGACAGTAATAAACACATTGTACTGTAGAGTTTGTGCGCAGCATCTGATGTGCAAACACAATGGTGCAGAAACCTAGCATATGTGCCAGACGGTTGCCAAGATATGGATCCTCAGCTGGCAACCAGAACAGCATGGACATAAATATCACCACATCAGTGAGTAAGAGTTACTGTGTGTAATTCCACTGCAGTCAAACTGTCGGAAATAAAATGAGACAGTTTGTTTTTTTATAATGCTCCTGCATAGCTGCAGCTCTCTAGCGGAGAGATCAAACAGATGAGAGCAGCCGCGTGAAACAGACTGAGCAATTCTTATGAAGGCTTATTTCCGTTTCTATAAAAAAAAGAGCTTGGGGAGTCACGATTGAACAGCAGAGGTGGTCCTTTCAATTCAGAATCCCAGCAGAGAGGCCAGGATGTTAATAAAACAGAGATTCATGGTGGCATAGCATCACTGTTTAGTCAAGCCATGCTTTATTCAAATCAGGTGTGGCCAGAAATATTTTGGTCTTCCTTGCAATTTAAAGCATTTTGATTTGTTGTTTATTGCATTTATCTTTATTTTCTTGGTCATTGTTATCTAGAAAGATCTGGCTAGATGAGTCAATGACTAGGTTTACATGGACATCAGTTATCTAATGATTTGCCTTAATGTGAATTAGACAATAATATGGTTGTGTTTACATAAGTTGCTTTTTGAATGTTCCTTTCATGATCCTGTTTTACACGTTATAGCACATAATCCAATTAAGGTCATTGAGTACGACATGCGACTTTATTCGATTTCTGTTTAGTTTGATTAATGATTATTACATAAATCCGCAGGGTCTCAAAGTCTTAATGTTTAAAATCTCAAAAGCTAAATTTTAGACCCTAAATCTGAAATTTGGTGTACATAAATCTTTTTTTTTTTTTTAATTAAGGGTCTTCAAATAGTACAAAACAACAAAGACAAAAGACATTCAGACAAACAAACCATCCCCAAGCGCTACAAATTAAATAATTTGCATAGTTTAAAAAAATTAATAATTAAAAAATAATAACACAACAGCAACAACAATAATAATAATAATAATAATTATTATTATAATAAAGAAAACAAAAAGACAGAACTCTCTGAGAAAATTCAGAGTTTATGTAGAAAGTAATGGAGATCCCAAAGTCTTCTGAATGTGTCCTGTTTGTGGTTAAGGTCATAGGTTAGTTTTTCCAAAGGAAGAAAGAAATAGTTGGAATTTGAGAAGCAGACTATTTTAGTAATATACATTTCTTAGCCAGAAATGTAAGAGTTGTTATTGACAGCCATGTTTTGTTCTATTTTTAGTAAGAGTTTTAGGGTTTGTGAATGGATATTTAAAAATTAATAAAAAATTTTTTAATTAAATAAATAAATGAAAACTAAATTATTAATAAATGTATTAATGTTTAGTCACTTTTGATAAGGCAAGTAAAAATCTTTTCTAACTGGGACATTTGAAAACAAATCCTTACATTTTATTCATTATGGTCTTTAATAAAAAAAAAAAAAAAAAAAAAGGTCTTAAATTTAATTTGGTAAAACCTGCAAAACCCAATAGATTTAAAAAAAAAAAAAAAAAGCTGTTTACATGGTAGACTCTTAATCAGAGTATGGTCTTAATCATATTATAAATCAAATTATTGGCATCCAAATAAATGTACTCAATGTTGCTGGTCCCATATGTACTTCATACACTGTAGTGACAAAATGTGTTTGTCACTAAATTGTTCCCAAAATTTTAATGCAGCCTGAAATTCGGATAAAGCCTTGGTTAGCTGCTTCAAGTATGTTTTATTAGGCTAAGAGTTAAAATTCAAAAGACTAATCTGATCTAAAAATCAACACTATTACTAAATATACACTTTTCTGTGAATATGAATTATTTTAATATTTGTTTACCATTCTGTACTATCACACAGAGTACAGAAAACAATGGTGACTTTTAGGAACTGTCCGTTTTGTGCTGGATGCAGTGGCTACACGTTACGTTTTACAATGAAACATCCCTTCTTAGCCCTGTTAATGCCATTCTCTCCAGACAAAACCCAACAGTGTAAATTCAGCAGACAATCTCTTACAGCGAGACGTGTGCTAGCAGTCTCGCTCCTCTCAAACAGAGAACCATTGTGTCTCAATAATTCTCCAGCCACCCCCTTCTCAGGGTCAATGACACCTCAGGCACTCAGACAGTATACAGAGATGCAACCCATTTTAAGAAACACACAGAACAGTAAATAACTGTTGTGAAAAACACCCAAGTGTCCAGGCACATTTGTCTGAAACCTCTTTTGTCCTTTTACAATTACTACAGTTGTGAGTCCCCCCACCCGCCTATATTTGCTGTCAACAAGATTAATTAAATATTTGCTTTGTACGCAACTCTGGAAGATGCTCTACATAAAAGTAGCGAGAATGTATCAGGTTTAACCTTCACTTGCAATTATTACAGCTAGACAGGCAGACAGATGGACAGACTGTTAGACAGATAGACAGACAGACAGATGGTCAAATGGATGGATAGATAGACAGATGTATAGATCGATAGATGCATAGAAACATAGATGGACGGACAGACAGACAAACAGACATTTAAATAAACTTCCTGGATAAATTGGTGGTTCATTCCGCTGTGGCAACCCCGGTTTAATAAAGGGACTAAGCCGACAAGAAAATGAATGAATGAATACAGATATATAAATAGATTGATCGATAGAGACAGATATATAGCTATATAGCTTGATATCTCGATATACATAGATGTATAAATAGATATACGTAGATAGACAGATAGATAGACAAATAAATATATGCATAGACAGACAGACAAATAGATATACAGACAGACAGTCAGATAGATGTAAACATAGACAGATAGATATATACAGACAGACACATCGATATAGATGAATAGATAGATATATAGACCGACAGATATATACATAGATAGATATACAGACAGACAGACAGACGGACGGACAGAGACTGATACAATATACATAGACAAAATCTTGTAAAAACATGTAATGATTTTCTCTGACACTGAAAGCGTTTATTTTCATTCATAATTTTGTTAGTTAAGTGTTGTCTAGCAGTTTAGCTTTTCCTCAGTTGATTTCTCATTTTCTTACTTGTTCCTCAAAGTTAATGACTACTTGGAGTAGGAGCTGGTAGCTTTTAGCCTTATAAGGTATAGCAAGTACCTGAGTTTTTCACCTACTTTCAGAGTACATCATTTAATTACGACCAAATGTTCACAGAATTCCACTCTCTGATGCGAGACAAGTCATTAATCAAAGTGCTTGGCTTGCCTTTTACAGCTCCGCGTCCAGACATGTTCAGCTATCTAAAAATGCTGTATTTCTACTGTCCATGAAATGTTGCTATTTTGCCTGATGAAATGTCATATCTGCTCCCCAAACTGGTTCAGCTCCCTGCTAGATTCTGAGAGTAGTCTGATTCATTGCTTAAGATGAAACAAAAGCCTTGAAAAAGAACTGTTCAAGCATATCAGTGTAACATCAATCACAAGTTCTCATGAATACTGCAGTAAAGTATGATTTCGGCTTACTGATCATTGAAGATTATATTAATTCACAGCTTGTAAAAGCATGTTATGAAGAACTGTTTTTGAAGGGAATTTTTTTATCTGTGCATTCACTAGAGTTTGTTTTATCTCCCCAGATTTGTGCGGTGTGTTTGGAAGAATTCAAGCAGAAAGATGAGCTGGGAATCTGTCCGTGTAAACATGCCTTTCACAGAAAGTGAGTACCCTGGCATATGTTGTTTTCTAAATGAGGACCCTCAAGACACAAAGTTTTGCAAGCTGTTGGTTTGAGCATCCCCCCAAATTTGTTCATCTTTGGAACACAAATTAGGATATTTTAGATGAAATCAAAGAGCTCTCTGACTCCCCATAGACATAAAAGGTCATGAAACATCCAAAGCACAGAAAGAAAGCAGGAACATCATCCATGGGTGATCAGTGGTTCAATCATAATTGTTGGTGGTTAATCGTTATTTTATTAGTTCAGACACACATTAGCAATTGATGAACGAATAGTCTTTTTTTGATCTTTTGATTCATTCATAAAAACAGTCACTCACTTTGTTTCTAAATGCATCATATTTTCAACAAAGCAAATCAGATGTTTTGGAGTTTGAATCAATGATTCGGTTAATCATTCAAAACAAACATGCAGTCACCTACTAGCTGTATTAGAATCACATTTATATAGCCATGATAGGTCTAAAAAAAAAACACACACAACTAGATTAAAACATTACATACAAATAAACCATCAAAAGCCTTAACCTGCATGTGAATATGCAATGTTTTATGGTTTCCACAGTGCTAAATGGATGTGATCAGGCATTGATCTAGTTGAAATGTGTCTGCTTCAGCCATCTTCTCCTTCACCCCTTTGTGAAACATTTGCACTAGGCTGTATGTTAGAGTAAATGCCAAAGTAAATGTCAGAGCGATGCTTGGACATTTATCAGAGGGGTGGGGAGCTCGGGTCTTTTTAAACATTTCAGTTTGCCATAGGAATCCAGCCAAATTTCTGAGTTTAAATAGGTCACTGAAGTGAAATTGCACACACACACGCTTGCAGCTATCTTTATGGAGACTTTCTATAGAAGGTTTTTATACTGTACAGACTGTATATTCTGCTCCCACCCAAACTCAACCCTCACAGGAAACAATCTGGATGCCTACATCTTCAAAATACTTCATTCTGTGTGATTTTCCTCATGGGGACCACAATGTCAAAATTAACTAATATTTCAATACTTGTGGGGACATTTGATGGCACAACATAAGGAATACAATGCACACACACATTACATTTGCTGCTATATATAATCTATTGTAGACTTACAATAAACTTAGACACTAAATATTTAAATGACGACTTAGATTTTGTCAATATACGTAGAAACACTTTGCTTTAGAAGCACGGTTGCAGAGTGACTGTAGTAAAGACACAAGGGTGTAACCTGATGAAAATCAGGCCCCAAATAGACATAACCATGACACGTTACATAATGTGACACTAAATCACATGATGCTTATTGCGTATCATTTGCATGTCGCACAATATGATGCATGAGCACTGAGCAGCTCATTCCAATTTAAAAATCCCCTATGCAAATTCCTCTCACACGCAAAAAAATGATTACTGCTGCTTGTTCAAACTACCCGTTTAAAGTAAGCTGAAACAATTCTTGTAAATTCGTTGGCCAATTTATCTCTTACGTTTAGTCCACTTGAGTTTATTAACCATTAAGTTAATTTAAGCATTTTGTGTTGGGACATCATGAAGGAATTGTGTTACTTGGCTAGGGGAAATGTAGTTTCTCTGCATGGTTTGAAGAGGGAAATATTGATGATAAAAGTAATCTTAGGTGTTTAAAGTTAATAGAAAGACTTGTTAGAGGTTAATCTTCACTTTAGTTTGAAGATTTAGAAAATGCCATGTAATCTTTTGAATTGAGACATGCAGAAGCACCCATGCTTTTGGTGTTTGCAGCTTAATTATAACAAAAATGCAGTTTGTTGCTTTGCTCAGTGAGCAATAACTGTCCTAAAATGAGTTCTAAGATCGGTTTCAATCAACTGTATATGTAACTCTTTCAGTTCATTTAGGATAACTTCAAGAGACTTCAAAATGTAGTACACATAATAGATATGCATGATAATATCAGACCTTTGAGTGGAAGTTAAATAAAAATAGAAATGTATTTAAACTTTGATAAAATCATGTTGGACCAACTCAGTTGAATTCAACTGTGTAAACAGAATTTTTTAGTTGGTGCTAAACAAAATTATTGAATGGAAATCCTGCCCTCATTTAAATTAAGTTCATCCAATGAGTTTTTATAGTACAGGCAGTCTTGCTTCAGAGGGAAAGTAGTATAATAGAAGAAACAATATAACAAAAACTGTCATTGGAAGATGTTGTTTTTTTTAAACTAGTTTTACAAAACTGTCAAAATCCAGACTGTGTCAGTGGTTAAATAGAGACTTGTGTATCATAGATCTGTTTGTGTACCTGATGTGACCAACACGGCCTAAAATAGAAGTGTGCTTACAGTGAATTATTCATCAGAGCAGAGATGCCAGCATCTCACTCCAACGAACCCGAGATTCAGTCTCACATTCACATGAGCTTCCTGTATCGAGACGCCCACCTTCCTCAACACAGACACATCATATGAAAGCACTCCACACATGCTTTATTGAGAGTTTGGGTTAGCAGAGTCTCCTTGTACTGTAGCTAGTAGTTTCGCATGCTTTGTCAAATGTTAGGCATGATGTTATCCAGTTTGCCTTTGATCTTCAACATTTTCTTTGCATCTTCCTCTCAGGTGCCTTATTAAATGGCTGGAGGTGAGGAAGGTTTGCCCGCTGTGCAACATGCCAGTCTTACAGCTGGCGCAGCAGCAGAGCATGTCTGAACCCATTGCCCCAACACAGCAACATCTGCCCGGGGTGGAGAACCTGGTCTAGAACCTTCTACAAATGTGACTGCCACTACTTTCACACTCCCTCCTGTACAGGTACATGCTCGTATCCAAGGACAGACTGCAGGATTGGCCCACGGTGACCTGTGACCTGCAAATGCTCAAGTCCTGCCTTGGTGGCTTTATAAAAGGATTATAAAGGATCTCCAAATTACAATAATAGATGATTTACTCAATCGGTCTTATTTGGATTTAGCTTTTTTCCCCTGTGGGATCATGAAGAAGAGTTTAAGTAACCGTTCCACGCCAAAGCACTTTTGTTGAGGATACCAGTGAGAGGCAAAACAGGACTTAAAAACAGCATTAAACACATTAAGATAATCTACAGTTTTTTAACAAACTTTTTTTTAAACAAGCACTTTACACAAAACTCAAACCTAATTGCTTGTGATAGTAGCAAGATCTTGTTTTATATTTTATAATTTGAAACTTTTTTTTTATAAAGGTGATGTACGCAGAGCCACAGAGCAAAGTACCATTGGTTTTACTTTGATTAGAGAGGGTTACGTTTATACTGTATATTAAAGGGACAGCAGCTCTCCAATGTGTATATGTTTGTTTGTTTGTTTGACTGTTTGTGCATCGATGGCCAAAACAAATGTGAATGCAGAGTTTGTCTTATTAGGGTCACGATCTGACCCAGCAGTATTTAATCTGTGTTCTGTGGATGTCTTTATATTGAAAATGCTTTTTAAACTGAGGGCTGTGTTAAATACACATTCACACACACACACAAACACACGTCGACTGCTTTGAGTTCAAGGCTGTATTTGATAAGAATCTGAAACTAACCAAAAAAGGAAAAGAAAGAGAAAACGCATATGATCTGATACACAAACTTTTCTAGATAGAATTTATATTTTCCCAATCACTATACAGTTGAAGTCAGAATAATTAACCAAGCCCCCTACCCATTGATTTTTTTTTTCTTTTTTGAATATTTAACAAAAGATGTTTAATAGAGCAAGGACATTTTCACAGTATGTCTGGCAATATTTTTTCTTCTAGAGAAATACTTATTTGTTCCATTTAACCTACAATAAAAGCAGTTTTTAATTTTTTAAAAAACATTTTAAAAGGTCCAAATTATTAGCCCCTTTAAGCTATATATTTTTTGATAGTCTATAGAACAAACCATCGTTATACAATAACATACAATAATAACCTAATTAATCTTACCTGACTAGTTTTTCTAATTAACCTAGTTAAGCCTTTTAATATCACTTTAATCTGTATAGAAAGGTCTCAAAAATATAGTCAAATATTATTTACTGTCATCATGACAAAGATGAAACAAATCAGTTATTAGAGATGAGTTATTTAAACTATTACGTTTGATGAGAGAATGAGAATGAGAGAAAGTTTTTTCAACACAATTAAACAGAAATTGGGTAACAAACAGGGGGGCTAATAATTCAGTGGGACTAACAGTTATGACTTCAACTGTATATAACAAAATCGCAATAATTCAAAATATTTCCCAGACTAAATAAAACATCTGTTATAAAAGTAACACCTTTAATTTAGCAATGAACTTGCAGACCTCCCGCAAGATCATTCATGTCAGCTGATACTTTAGGAAACTGCTGCCATAAGATCGCTTCTGTCTTCACTAACTGATCATAGTTAGAGGATTAGTCAGTTTCTGGCTTCAGTTTCCCAATCCAGAGCGAATGTTTTCATTCTGCAGATGTTATATAGAGTTAATGGAAAAGTTACAAATTGACCAAGAGGGGTTTTACCCAAATTTAAACTCCAACTAAATATCCCAAAGTATTGTTTTGACTTTCATGATTACCTTTTATGCAAATTGGTCAGGTTTTTAATTCCCATTGTACAATATTTGCTTAATTATCACATATCTCCAATGAAGCCTTGGTTCTACGCAAAGCAGCTAATTTGTGTCTGTGTGCTTGTGTGTGTGTGTTCACACAAGCTCTCATTTTGTGCTGCATAGCTTTCTCAAAATATACTTGGCATAAAGAGCCCAGATCTGTCTTCAATAAATATTAATAAATTAAATGTCAGTCTAGTAAAGAAAAATCAAAAATAACATAAAAAAAGTAAACCTGCTGCCCTAAAGTTCAGTAAATGTGAAGTGAACATAATTCCAAGTTACAACAGGTTTACTCACTTTAAATAAAGTCAACTTATTGCTTTTAAGACAACAGTAATGCTTTTTAAAAGTTACTCATTGCTTTTGACAGTGAACAGCCCCAGATTACAGTACACAGTCTAGTTATCATTCCAGCATATCTGTAAATCAGTCCAGCACTTTGCAACTCAGAATCCTCAGCCATAAAGATCATTGACCAGCAGGTGGATGTAGTCAGCAGTCTGTAACAGAATAGACACTCTGGCACTTTCCTGCTCTATAGTACAACTATTTTCCGCCCTTTTCATCCCACCAACCAGATAAGGTCATCCTGGGTCTCTGTGCCCACCATTTTAAGCCAACCTATTAGTGAAACATGCATAATGTTGTGCATACAGCTGGCCTCAACACTATAAATGATGCCAAATGGGAAAACTTAATTTCCATTATCTGATACAAGCTTGATACATATCAGTATTAGGTTTGATCAAAAGTGCTGGTCATGAAGTAAATGGAGTACTGCTAATTCATTGCCAAGAAAACTGCCCACCGTGTTCTGCAATGTATTTTTTGTGTGTGCTTGAAAGGCAGATTGTGAATTAAAGTTAAGCTTATTTAAATATTTTTTTTTATATATTTAATAATTGTTTGCATTTGCAGAGTGTGTGCGGAAACTCTTTTGACTCTAATATCACTAATCATTTTTTTCAGTGTGCTTTGGTACTTTGTCTTAACAAAGTGTAAAACACTGAGGGTTTCCTTTAGAAATCCCTTTATTGTGGACAAATAACATTGAGTCCTAAATTAGGATCTCTTCATCTCTTTGGCTTTAGTAACACAGCAGGTCTTAAAGAGTCACTCTGATCACGAATGTATGCATATAGAGAGCTGTGGTTCAACTGTGTCATTATAATGTGAAAGTAGTTGATTGTGTCTAAAATGTACAAGTTACATCACTGCACTTTTCATATTCTTCTGTTTAGGTGGTATTAGTGCCTCTCTGTTGAGGTGGAACGGAAACGGCGCAAAAATGTTATTTATTGTGTGCTAAAGTTTAAAACCCATAACATTTCAATAGTACTTTCTAACTGCTCTAATTTAGTGTTTAGGCAAAGCAAGGCTTTGTGATTGTTGCTAAAAGCAATTTCAAAATCGGTTTGGAAACATATCTAGAAAGTCAAGCTAGCATGTTCATACAAGTGGTAGTCCTCAAGAAAATTGGGAATGTTAATGTTAGGCCACATTTTTAGCATATTTAAACTAATGTTTTCTACTGATCATTACTGAGAGTGCCATATCTGGTTTACCCGTTTTAATTTGAAAATGCAACATTAGGTGTTTGCTTACTACTTAACAACTCTTGTTTGTTCCTAATGGGCTTTTTAAACCAATAAGACATTGTGAAAAAAGACTGTTAGGAACAGCCCGGCAGTATTTCTGTTGTTTAGTAGTACTTTGTAGAATGTGCTTATAAAGGCACATGACGCAATTCAAATATTATGTTTTAATAAACAATTGCCTATCTATTAACTATCTCAGTGTCAAATCTGTGACATGGTTTTTCAAGGTTTCCATGATGTTCCTCCTTCACCATGCCACTCTTTTTGTCTGAGGTGATCTAATATTTGTCCCGCCCCTCACCGTTGTGACCTCACAGATGTAAACATCATAGCCCCGCCCCTTCCCAACACAGTCTTGTTTTAACACTGCTAATGTTTGTGAATCTCACAGACATGTTTGTAAAAGTAAGAATTCTGCAGCAGAATATTTTCTGTACAGTATTTGTAAACTATATTTTTGTATATTTAATCAACATTTTGAAGAAAAGTTAAAAAATGCAAAGACGCTTTTTTTTTTTTTTTGCTAATTTTGTGTTATATTCATTAAAATATGTTGCATGTGACTGACTTGAATTGTAAATAAAGTTGCCAAGTTTTTGCAATAAAGAAATTGTGTTGTCTTTTTTTATGACTGAAAACATTGTGATCAGTTCAGCATTAGAACCAGGCATCAGTAGCATTATAATACATACATAAGAGGCTGGTCGAGGTAAGCTGGTCCACTTTTTCTTGTTTTGTCAACAAAGGTTAACCAGGTTAAATATTTATAATATTGAAATCCAAATCTCACAATCACTATTTTGAAAAATAGATGTTCTTAATCTAATAATATATCCTTTATCAATACAGCTAATTAAGCCGAATGACTTTCATGAGACACTTTGACCTGCTTTTATGTCAGATTAATTTTCACTGTCATGAAGAAAAATCACTTATGCTTTTCTGCAATGATCTTTAGTCACAGATCACAACTTTTCACATCCATAAACAATTGTGACCTTACAAAAGCTAGGTGTCTTTTTGCATCCGTGCCATTTACTTTATGATTTTTGCAAACAGAAATAGATTTTATTTTTTATTTTTATTAGAACCAAATCGGTCTCATTTGTATTAAGACTCTTTTCTCTCATTTTGAGGGATGCGTTTGATAGTTTAATTAAACGATGGGAAAAATCCCTGAAGGTTAGCCAACTAAATGTGAATAAATTCATTGGTTTAATATGTGCCTGTTTTTAGGTCATGGTTTAGTATATTCTTTGAACAGTAGACAAAAGTTAAACTATAAAATAAAAGTTACAGTTTTTTTTTTTTTTTTTTTTAATGGACAGTGGTTGAATACATACAATTAATTATCGATTTAAAAAGTATTGCATCTGTAAATAAATCTAATGCTAATTAAAAATCTTAATGGCATAAAATCTTAGCGAATGCCATAAACTTTGAATACCAGTTACTTGCACATTACTTTATTATAAAAAGCTAGATTTCTCAGCAGAACCCCAACTACGTTATATTATTAGACACGCATAACTATTAGATAATAATATAATAAAAATAATCAACAGTGAAAAAACAACTTAAGAATCTTGTTTTTATTACAATTTTAAAACGAACACATCCTGGACATCAATCCATCAATATGTAGGTCAATATAGAGCAAATATTTAGATAAAGCTCAAGAGTTCATTGACTTTTCTTAAACTGACAATCTGAAGGACATTGAATGATAAAGCTAAATGTAATGCTATGGGTAGAAGACTGGTTGAGCAATTACATGAGCTATTACTGTTTTTCTTTTATAATTAGTTGTAAAATGAATGAGGTGCCAAACAATCTGCAACATCAAAAACACTTGAAAAAAGTCTCTGTTTCTTATTGAAAGTAACAAAACAACAAAAATATTGGAGGGGTTTTGTGTTATCTGGTCATTTACGACACATTCAAGAATTATTTTAAAAGAAAATATCCAAAACAAACACATGTCTCCCCTTATTGCTCAAATTTGCATCATGCAAATTGCTAATAAGAGCTAGCACCAGACAGCTCTAATGAGGACACTCAAAACTTCCCTAATACTTACTATAGCTAAAAATTACAACAAAATATTGTTTCTGTGAAACATGACAAAAGGAATGTTAAGTTACTTACATGTTGACAAAGAGCAACATTGGCTTTCATTTCCAGGTCTTCCCAAGATTCTCTCCTGGCTTATCCTTAACTTGAGTAGTTGTTTCTTGGACATTATAAAAATTAATTTTCCAGTGATATTCATTTGAGCTTTTTCTTCTTTGGTAGTGTCTCCATCTTTTACACCAGGGGTGCCCAAATCAGTCCTGGTGGGCCGGTGTCGGGCAAATTTTAGTTCCGACTTGCCTGAACACACTTATTCTGAATCGTTGTGCCCAGTAAAAGCTTGATTAGCTTTGGTTGGAACCAAATTCTGAAGGACACCAGCTCATTGGGACAGAGTTTGGGCACCCCATGTGTTATAATCTTTATTTCACAGGTGTCACACGCAGTCCTGAATGGCCGCGGCCCTGCACAGTTTAGCTTCAACCGTAATTAAAAACACCTGAAACCTACAGGGTCGTGGTTACGGATATTGTGGCTGAAGCTGTCAAACTGTTAATGGCCGCCACCCCGAACGCTGAAGTAAAGAGTAGTTGTTTGAAGAATAAAAACAAACAAAACAAACAAACTAACTAACAAAAAACTTTTTATACAGTAGATTAACTTGCACATATTATTCATCCACATTCTTTAAAGATGTATATGCATTCATTTATTTTTTGTTATTTATATATATATATATATATATATATATATATATATATATATATATTGTTAGTTAGTTAGTTACATTTTATTATAGAAATATTACATTATAACCAGCGTGGAAACAAAACCCAGCAATCACAATAAACTAATTTAAATAGCTTAATTAAAATGTTTAATTACACACACACACACACACACACTATAATTCTCTATATAGTTATTTTGTAGCCTATACATTTAAGAAGGCAGTTAGAAAATATTTAAAATAGATTAACTATTAACCACCCCAAGTTTTCTTTCACATTTTATTTAGAAAATGTAAATATCTAACTAAACGAGGTCATGTTCTGTCCAAAGGGCCACTTGGTGTGTTTACTTCCAGCCTACTGACCCACTAACACCAGTTTGGCCTGCTAGCACGTGTTTCTCAAACACAACTTTCCCTCTGCTGATAAGCCGTCAGGAGAGAAAGAACTTCTCTTTACCGCATACAATAATAAAGACACAGCTGTTTCTTTGTGGAAATTTACCCCTGAAACCTGATGTATTTGTATCCCAACTTTCTACTAAACGCACTCCTGGGGTGAATAATAAAACACAATAAACACAATGTAAGGATAATAAACATGAACCATTAAATAAATCAATACACAAACTGAAGAAGACCGCAGGTCACGTTGATTGTCTGCTCGCATTTACTGTGCTCTACTGGCCTCTGGTGGACACACTATGGAATCAATTGTTCTAAAACCAAACGTCAATGTCAAATGGAGATTACTACTGTTTAATTTACATAATAATCATTGTGCACTGTTCAAATTTACTATCCTTTTGTAATGTTATGAAAATCTCCACCGAATTAAACTGCGGTAAAAATGCATAGATAAATAGTTTTTTCATAAATCTGTTAATCTACCTGTTCACATCATAACTACTAAATGTTCTATAACATTACAGGATTTTAACTCTTTTATTTCTAAGTTCCTAAATAATGTCACTGATTTGGTGAAAAAAAAAAACAATCATGTATTTTTAATGCAAAAAGTAGATTTTTTCTCTTTTATCACAGTCATTTTTTTGTGATGAAATTTTTATTGAACAGTTGAAAATAAACTCGCACACATAGTTATAGACAAAAATACCAACCAACTGCATTTTCTATTATTATTCCACCCCACCCACCCCAGGCGAAAATAGTATTAAACAAAAAAGAAAATCAGAGCAGAAAACAAAAAGAGAAAATAAATAAAATAAAATAAAAAAACTACATAAATAAATAAATCATCCTCTGCATTTAACCTTTTACAAGAATACTTTTAACAAAGGCAGATACATTGGTTAAATAAACAAATAGGTTAAATAAAATACAAAGAAAATTCACTATAGCATATATTTTATCTTAGTTATTGCACATATCCATGAAGTAATAGTTTTTGTAGAAGCGCTCTTTTATCACAGTCTTGAACATTTTAACAACTATAACAACATTGGCTTTGAAGTATTGACTTTCATTTTTCCTCCCTAATTTAATGTTGGTTGCCCCATAGACTTCCGTTATACCTACATTTGATGGTGCATGAATACACAGTCTTTGTCTTTATTTACTCCATGTAGTTCTGAGAGCTGAGATGCATATTTTTATTTTCTCAGACACATCAAGGTAAGAGGGCAAAGGTCACTCTCACACTCTCACACACTCCTATTTACTCTATGTAAAATCCAGAAACAAACCTTTTTTTGCATAGGCCTATCTGAAGGGTTAACGGTGCCAACTGATGATCAACAGTAAAAATTACAATTTTTACCTCTTCCCAACAGGGAAAACCACCAACAATCAAAAATGCATGATTATATGGTGTCATGGTTTTGCAGTCAAAAAAAATGTGGTCATAATGGAAGTCAATGGGGCAAAAACATCCCCTAACAGTAAATTAGGGAGAAAAAATGAAAATCAATCAACAATGTTGTTTCACATGTTCAAGATTGTGATTAAATTCGGCAACATCATTTATGAATTTGGCAATTAAAGAGTGTACAAGTAATTTAGTAGTTTTAAACAGGACTGAGGTTGACTAACATATTTATGCAAAAAATGCTTGAAGTCAGAATTATTAAACACCCTAAATTATTAGCCCCCGTTTATTGTTTCCTCAATTGCTGTTTAATGGAGAGATGTTTTCAACACATTTCTAAACATAATAGTTATAATAACTAATTTCTAATAACTGATTTATTTTATCTTTGCCATGATGACAGTAAATAATATATATATTATCTTTTTTCACATATTTTTTTTCAAAATATGTGTCAAAATAAGATTTTTCACCAAACATCTTTCTGCTAGCTGAAAAAGTTGTGGCCAAATTAAGACTCAAAATCTCCTCAGAGTGGATGAAATCATCCCCAACAGCACGTAAGGGTTAATAACGTAATGATTGGCAAATTGTTTATGACAATTTGGGCTTTAAAAATAATCTTCTGTTCATAATTTGCTGTTTTTGGTCAGCCTACCTGTATGTTGATACTGCATGAAGGACGCACTTCACTTCTTGTCTTTTTTTCTTTTCAGATAAAACATTACCCAAATCAGGTCCTATTTTATATACTGGATTTATCACTTGACTAACAACTGCCTGTCGTCAATAAGAGTGGGGTCACATTAGTCCTTGTCACTGGCATAATCTAAATGAATGCATGCAATACAAAGTTAATTGTTTTTTTTACAATGTATGTAATATATGTTATTAGAAGTTATGCAATATGTCTGTAGCTAAATGGATTTAATTTAAAATGATGAACAGTCAGTGGTGTGAAATAACAAACTACAATTTC